CTATTCATTTGAATTAGAAATTCAAAGTACTGAGCAAAAGCTATTCAAAAGCCCTTTTCACGTTCCAGCAAAAAGTAATTGTGTTATATTCAGTGGAGTTCTAGCTGTAAGTATAGTAAATTTATTTGGGGAATAACTAATTGAACCCTAGGATTTTCTTGAGAGTACATACAGAAAGATTGTAATGTCATTCTCTTATAAACTGGAAAGTGAGCAATACTAGCAGAATTGTATTTAAAACATACTCATAATAAAAAGTGTTTTACTACAAAATGATTTAAAATGTGCTTAAATGCTTCTCTAGAACCTTCATCCTATTTTCCAATAGGATTTTCCAATGCCAAATTTATCCCTTGGTAAAGGAAAATAATGCTTTTAAAAGAAAAATATATGAAGTAAAAATATTTTTTATTTCATCACTTCATTCATTTACTATATGTGATAAAATGCTCAAAATTAACAACAATTAACCAATTATACTTTAAATTGTATAATATCTACCTATTTGATTTGTGTATACCAATAATTGAAAATAAGCTTTTTGCACTTTTTAAAAAGAATGGAACGCTGCCATTTATTCTACCTAATCCATTCCACAATATTACATGCATTTGGAAAGGTACCAGGCCGAGAAAGTGTAATACACACCATGTGATTCCTCTAAATATAAAACCTCAATAATGTAAAAAAAAAAATACTGTATTGCATATATGTTCAGATGACATTCCAAGATAATAATGAAGTATTTTTCTTAATAGAAGGGTCTGAATATCAAGAAAATCTGATTTTCAAAACTGCTATGACAGAGCATGAACTAAGAATGAATAAAATGCAGTGACCCTATAAAGCCATTTATGATGTTGGTGATGTCAGCTGTGACTTTAAACAGAACCATGCTTGTCAATAATTTTTGAAACATGTACAATCAGAATGGACCCAACGGGACAGGAGGTGGCGTCCTCTTTAATCCCATATTTAGTGGCAGAAGCTGAAGACAATAGCCACAATCTTCAGCCTCTTTAAGCTTGATTCCATTTGACACATCCACCCTTCTTTTATCAATCTTACAAGGATATCCCACTTCAGGGCGCTGCATATAAGATCTACTTTACTAGTGTCATTGAGATGGAACAATCAGAAAGCTGGTTGAAGAATTTGTAATTCTAGGCAGACACTTTATTTAAATTTTCTGCTGTCAAGCTATAGTTATCAAAGGAGAGCAATGAAAATAATACTGCTCCAATGTATACCATTAATTTTTTTTACAGAAATATTTTGAGTTTTTAAAAATTGGAATTGCTTTTTTGGAAAAGTATTTCATTCTAATAAAAACTATGACATTCATTCAGAGATCATGTCAATATTATTTTAAGAAATATTTTCAGTTTTCTATGTGGTAGATACACCACAAATGTACTGTAAATTCCTAATCTGCTTAACACAAATGTTTGGATCCATATCTGTTTATTCTATTCATTAATATTTATCAACTAAACATCATTTTTATTTTTTTATTATAAAGTATAATAAAATACAAATAACTTCAACATCAATAAAACAGAAATACCATAGGGGTTATAAAAATAAAAATACACACATACAAAATGGTAATTAAATAAGTAAACTAGAAGAAGGGAGAAAAAACTAATTTAACAAAAAGATCAATATAATATTGATTTGAATAAATATTCAAATGCAAATTTACTTGTTGAACCAAGAATGAAAAACATACTGATGAAAATGATGCTGAAATATAAAAAATAATGTATATTTTTATCAATATTTTCCTTTGAAAGTGTGAATGTTAGAAACAAAGCTATCTTAACAGCCTTACCAAACTTCGAAGGAACCAAAGTAAGCTATAGAGTGCCCTCTAATGAAATTATTTTGATAATGCCTTCAGTTTTCCTATTGCCAATGAACAATAATTTTATACTTATTATACTGGCAATTCAGTATCATATCTATGTACAGAGAGGAGCAACTTGTGATCTACTTTAGAGCTGGTCTAATTTTTTTGCATGCTGTACTTCTAGAGAGAAATAATAAATACTTCGTTAATCAATACCTCCATGCTAGATAAATCAAAGGAACTGTAAATCCAAAATATTAAAGGAATAAGGAAATAATTATTTATTCTAGGACCGATAAATCAATCTTCCTAGGAATTTATTTCTATACATATAATGAGCAACAAGCTGCAAAAGTCTGAAGTGGGAATTTAGAGACTACTGCATTATTACTACCACAAATTGTTTCAACTTCTACCCTCAAAACGACACTATAGGGCACTGTACACCAGAACAACTAGACACAAGGACAGTTTTCCCCCCGAATGCCATCACTCTGCTAAACAACTAATTCCCACAACATTGTCAAATTATTTACTAAGACTGTATTACTATTATTCTTATCCTTCCTAGTACCTATCTCTTCCCACTTATGACCATGTTGCTTGTATCTCCACAATTTATAGTTTTATTTATTTCTGAGTATGATTTGATTGCTTATTAGTAACCTATGACTATCATTAAGTGTTGTATCTTACGATTCTTGATGAATCTATTTTTATATACACTGAGAGCATATGCACCAAAGAAAAATTCCTTGTGCGTCCAATCATACTTGGCCAATAAAGAATTCAATTCAATTCAATTCAATTCAATTCAATTCTATACTACTGCATTATTATATAATTAACCATAATAATAGTATTGAAATATCACAGTAAACTTAGTGAGAGAAGGACTAGAGCAGAGAATTTGAACAAGTAGATATTTTGCAGGAAAGGAGAAAGTTGCCTCCTTCCCACAATCTACTTTTGTTTGATAAATACTGTAAGATAAGCATTCATGGATTCTGTAGTTACCAATTTTGTCCAATTGATCCCTCATTTTTCTGTTTGCTGATCTTTTTACATAAATTATCTTGTTCCCTTTTGTAATATATTACAATTTGGCTTTTTAAAATATATTCTCAAGTAACAGGATCCAGGATGCAATATTTTACATAATTTATAAAGTTTATATTACAAAATAGGAGAAAAACATTTAGTAGAAGAGAAAGAAGAGAAGAGAAGAAAGGGACCTTGGAGGTCCTCTTTTTCAACCCCCTGCTCAGGAAGGAAATCCTATACCATTTCAGACAAATGGTGGTCCAACCTCTTCCTTAAAACTTTCAGTGTTGGAGCATTCACAACTTCGGGAGACAAGTTTTTCCATTGATTAATTGTTCTGTCAGGAAATTTCTCCTTAGTTCTAGGTTCTTTGATTAATTTCCATCTATTGCTTCTTATCTTGCCCTCAAGTGCTTTGGAGGCTAGTTTGACTTCCTCTTCTTTGTGGCAACCCCTGAGATATTGAACTCTGCTACCATGTCATCCCTCGTCTTTTTTTCATTAAACTTTGCATTAATCTTTGTTATGCTTCACTATTTTTCTGTGCAAAACATATGCATTAATAAGTACAATTAATATTACATTGAGTGATAGTTTTTATGTGTACAAGTGATATGAGAACAGCTATAATGTCCTTAAAAATGAAATTCTGAGATTTTGAAGAGTTGTTGCCTGTCTAGAGATTACACAGGATAAAAAAATAACACAATTAAATGTAAGTTCCACTGATTTTTGAAGGACAGCCTTTTTTTAGTGGACTACTTCCACTAAAAGGGGAAATAATATACACTAGACTGCCATGAATATTCAATGCTATCATCCCAACTTGTTTTTAATTTGAATGTTCTTAAGAACCCATTGTGATATGTTTGCATTGTGCAGGATGATTTAGATCAATGGGTTTGGCATTACTGAAATAATCCATTGTCTGGCTTCATTTTGTATTAATTAATTGGAATCTGAACAACACAATAAGCCACATATACATGCACACCCTTATCATAATTAACCTGTTTAACATGTCAGATGACCGCATGGTCTGCATAGTTTGATTAAGTGTTTGTGGACACAATCATTAAACAATACTCATTTGAGACTCAGATAGTATTTCATGAATGCCTGATTGATTAAGCTCCATTTGTTTTATCCCCCACTAGAGAAATTTGTTTTGTTTAATAGGGTAAGTGGAGAAAAATGCCATTTCCTTCCCTTTCCCTTTTGCACGTACACACTCTTCATCTGTACCAGTCTCATAAAATCTAGTGCAAAGAACTGGGACTTTTTGCTGAAAACAGTAGTGCTTCTCTGCAAAAAGAAAAACATGGCTAGTTTGAACTAGGTGGCATAGGTAATAGTAGCAAGTGGCTTCCCATCCATCCCAGGTTCCTAAAGCGACTCAAATCGTCAGCATTTTTACCAGTAGGGGGAGCTCTGGTATTGAAAAACATCCCCAGCCATTTTAAATGCTGCAAAATCCAAGTATGCACAGACATTAAGTTCTCAGTGGAAGTAAGGCTTAAAACAACTGGTTTTAAAAACCATGAAGAAGATCCAGGGAATTGAATAGACATGGCTATAACACAAGAAGACTATACAGTGACATCTTCCTTTACACACATACACACAAATAATCACCTTTAAAAGTTAATTTTTGACACAAACATACGTGCATTACAAATCTGGATTGTACTGTTTTGCTAATAAAAAAATCCTCTATATGGGTTTATGAAAGTTTACACAACCCAGATATGTAGGAACATTTTTTCAAGTAAACACTAATAGAATCAATCATTATGACACAATCAGCAAGTTATGCATATTTTATACCGTTAGCGTAGGTCTGACAGAGAACAGGTAAGAAAAAGAGCTGCTCTTACCACACAGACATCTAAGAAAATGCAAGGATTTCATTTCAAAACTGCATGGTTGCTTTAGAAATGTACTCATATTTCCAAGAAAAAAATATAATGGCATGAAGCCCCCACCAGGAATGCAAAAAGGATTAATAAACCAGGTATGTGATTTATTTAATTATTAATGAAGGCTTCCAACATTGGTCCTGGTTGTCATGGCAACTAGGGCTGCTGCTAGTTTCCAGAAAACATAAAAGAACAGCAAGTGCAAGGCCACACATTCCATTTAGTCTTGCGGATTAGCCAGGCTGTCAAAAGAAAGGAAGGGAAATCAACAGTTAGAAGACAAGATCTACAAAGAGAAGAAATATATACAGCGAAACTGCTCACAAGCTGCAAATGTAAGTACTCTTTATATTCAAAAACAAGTATACACTGGCTATTTCAGAAAGAGACAACCGTCTTGTGTTAAGAAATAAGCAGCTCCACCTCAGCAGCATTGCATCACAGTCAACCAGAAATGTCTGTTGTCAGGGAAATGTAATTTTGAATCTTGAGTTTTGTGCTGTTTTACTATGAAAAGATTTATAATGTCTTCTTTCACATCTATATGTAGTCTTGTAAAATAAGTGGCAATCCAGAATTACCGCTGTAAGATGTATTGTATATGATTGCTTAAGATGATTTATAGGAACAAAAAATAATCCCATCACCTCTCTCCTACAATCAACTGCCACCCCCAAAAAACTTTTTGAAATGCTAGGGGATATGGAGAAAGGCTGCTGGAAGAAGAGTAAATAGGAAACATTTTTCCATTAACTTCCTTAGCAGTCTTCTACAGATTTAGCCAGAGAACTTTCCTCCATTCAGCTAAGATCAGTCATAGGCTGCTGCGTACCAAACTACAATTATCTAAGGTTTTAAGCCTGATTTGATGGGTCTTGTTTTATCCCTGAGGAATCTGCCATATCTTACTTCACCTTGTTAAGAAAATCCCATTCCGGCTTGTAGAAGCACAGGTGTAAAAGAGGATACCCTTAATAAAATAGTATGATTGTGGTTTGTTTCACTTATACAGCTTCCAGCTCTATGTAATATAATCAAAGATGCTATTCTATGCAGTTATTTGGCTCTGAAATTACTGTAATTAAAATGAATAGTTTATAAGATTTTTGAAAAATTACTGAATTGATTGTAAAGACTAGAGTTTTTAAAGCATTTATCTGGAAAAAAGTCCCTTTGAACTCAGTAAGACCGATCATGGACTAATTTGGACTGCTTTTAACAACGTAAACTTTAAGTACGGTTATGCTATTATTTTTTCTGTCTATTTGATGGATTAAGATAATACGTGTATGACCAAAATAAAGTTGGTACCTGTTAAGTGTGCCCTGAGTACATGATAAAAAGCAGATATATTATGAATACATAGATCGTTTTCTGTGGTATGATTGAATCAACACAAGTATTACAATGAAACAAAATAAATTCTGTAAGAATGATTGATACCATATTCCAGTTTTAAAACATTTTTAATGTTACTTCTCTTAAATTACTTACAAACTGAATAAATAAATCATTCAAACAACATGAAAGAAAAAGCAAAGTAAAACTGAACTATATTCCAACTGACTGCAGAACAGAAGGAATTCCCAGCCAGATTCAGAGTGCTGATTTTGACCTTTCCAAACTTTTTCCTATATGCCGCAGTGAAGGTATATTGATGAAAATGGCTTATGCCCATTTAAGCCACAACTACAAATACTTATAGCTGGCAGATTTGGGAAGTGGGGGGAAACAGGGAGGGAGGTTTTGTTTGTCTGCAGATAAATGTCTTGACAAATTACTAAGGAGGCTCTGTTTCTTGCCCAGATTAATTTTGCCTATGCTACAAACATACATAGAACCCAAATGTACGATTTCAAACTTAGATGAAGTTCCTATGAGAATAACTGCTATGCTAGCCAGAGTTCAATTCATGGAATATGCCAAAATTTAGGATTAAATTTGAATACAGTTGCTGTTTAATTAGAATATTAGATGAATGTATAAAACTATTGGGGATAAAAGATGCTGCTACATTTGGATAAATCATATTTAATATAACTAAATTGTGAAAATGGCAGTCCAGTTTCAGTTTTTTTCAACACCCAGAAACTCTGTACCTACTAATTTAAAATTTTATTTCACTACTCTTCTGAAATGAATGTGTAAGATTTATATTTGTTGGCATCAGCAATCAACCCTACACCACGATTTTTTAAAACGTGTGCTATAAAAATATATTTTAAGACCTATTGAAAGATGCCTTGTTATGTATTGCACAGCAATATACAATACTTTAGTTGCCACTTTTGCAATATGTCTTCAGAGATTAGTTTCCTGGCATTTTATATTAAATCTTTTAACTTCGAATACCTAACTTGCTCAATCTCAGCTTAAAAATCTTCCAGTATCAGTACAAATATTTCGTGGGAGTGACAGGCTGCTATGATACCACATGCTTGGATAAAACAAACATTGCCAATGTGATCACTCATTGGCATTTGCAAGTTTATTTAAAATAAAACTAATTCCAGGAATTGAATATGAGGCCTGGTTTTTTCCCCTATATACCTTATCTAATTTTAGAATGTCATTTTAAAATGGTTTTAACCATAGTAACTCTACTGTGTGATTAAACTATGACTTAAACATATACTGTATATTGAAAAGCATAGCTATGATTGCATAATGCTTAAAAAACATTGTCACTATAATGTAGAGGTGGGCAATAGTGTACAGAAAATGAAGAGTATACTTTTAAATTAATCAAAAGCACATTTTACTCTTCCCCTATGGTCAGGGAGAAGTACTAGGGGTCAGTATAGTTAGGAAGGGTGCATGGGGAGGGTTGCAGGAATGTGAGGGAGGTGCTGACTGGCTTGGGGACAGCATGTACGGAATGCAAGTTGGGAAAGGTGCCATGTAGATCAGTGGTGGGTTGCTAACAGGTTTACTACTGGTTTGCTTGTGCTTGCACGGGCACGTAACACTTCTGCACATGCATGGAAGCGTCTGGGCGGATCCTCCAGCCGCCGCCACTACCGGTTCGGCCAAACTGGGCTGAACGGGGAGCAACCCACCTCCGATGTAAATCATGAAAGGTACACAGAAGGAAAGGTGTGGATTGAGGAGGTGCGCAAGAGGTGCTGCACAGGCTGGGGAAAGTGCAAGGAGGGGAGGCTGAATGGGATGGGCATGATGTTCTGTACATTTTGGACAAGGAACATGGAGGATAGCATGGAACAGGAAGAGTGTGTGGGAGTTCCTTCCCCCCTGTTCCTCTGTTCTTTCCTTCCTTCTTCCTATTCTACCCTTTCCTTTCCTTTCCTCCCTTCTCATTGCCAGAAGGTAGATAAGTGGTTGCTGCTGGCTGGAGGAAAAAGTGAAGGATTGCACAAGTGGCTGGGAAATTGTCACAGAATGTTGAAAACCACATCGCTACAGCAGCAGCCTGACAGCATTGAAGCAGCAGCAACCAAGCAGTGGTGAAATTGCTACAACTTGCTCAAATTTCATTCTTTCAGATATAATGAGTGCCAGTACTCTGTAACTTGGCCATGTCAGGTGAAGTAGGGCATCAGTAAAGATTCCTGGGGACACTTTGGGGCAAATAGTCACCAAATTGTGTTCCTCAATTTAGAATATTTGTTGTGTGAACAGAAAATGTAATTTTTTGGGACACTACAAATGTAAACAGACAGTTTGTATACTTGCAGTTTTAGAATATAAGTCCCCTTTCACAGAAGCCGGCTTGTAAATGAGCATTGTTTCCTCTAAGTATAGTACCTTGATCAGCATGAAGAACAGAACATTCTTTCTTGAGTATAAAATTAGAAATATATGGGATGCTGCTTATTTGGAATGAGACAGAAGCTGGTGACCTTCAATCACAACTTCCTTTTGAATTCTCTATTCAAAGTGTAAAAAAGATTTTGCAAATTCTGCCTGCAGAAACTATCTCATGAAAGCTTTTGGACCAGCCATCATCCATAAGTGGAAGACTACTCTCTCTGAAAAATCATTGTAATGGGAATAAGTTCTGATTACTAGAAATTTGCCTGCAGAGAAAAAATACAGTTCCAAATATTTCCATCAAAAACTATAGTTCGGGGATGTCACTGTTGTCTTAATTCAGTCACATATTTTTCAGTCACATAACTTTTTCAAGAATAGATGAAAATTATGGTAACAGAATGTTGCGACTGTTTTCCTTTAGAAAATGATTGGATGTATTACTATTTTATTTAAAAAAAACTGCTGTGTAGATAACTGGTGATTTTTTTCCTGGAAGGCTTTCTGTATTTTCTAATGCAACTGAAATGAGCTGGAGAATTCTACCAGTCACCAGCCTGTGAGAAAATCAGTGCAACTACCGTTCTATTGATGAAAAACTGATGCCTACAGCAATGGTGGGTTTCAATTTATTTTATTACTGGTTTGCTCGTGCATGCTCACCCGCTCGCGTGAAGCTTCTGTGCATGTGCAGAAGTGTCTGGGTGGGTGGGTGTAGCCTCCTGCCACAGCCACTACCGGTTCGCCTGATCCTGGGTGAACCAGCAGGAACCCACCTCTGACCTACAGTTGTGTTTACTGTCCCTTGCTCTGGGTCTGAAGTTATATTACGCAGACCCCTTGTAGGTTATATCTTTATTACTGTATTTTTTCTTCAACTGTTTTTAATGCATTATTTTTTCTTACATCCTGCCAGTCTGGAATGGAATAGCATAGAAATCTTAGTGATAAATAAATAAATAAATACATACATACATACATACATAAATAAATAAGTAAGTAAGTAAGTAAGTAAGTAAGTAAGTAAATAAATCTTATTTGTTTTTCAGATCCGCTGAAGTGGCCGCATATGGCCCTGATGCTTATGTAAGACACATTTCACTATAAAAGAAAGTCTCTGAACATCTCTGAGCATTACCAGGCAAAAAGATGTGCATCAAGCTGAACCTCAAGGAAAGTTCTGGAAAATTGGTTCTAGGCACATCTTTCATCTGATTATTATATTTAAGCCTGCAAGAGAATTATACTGAAACCTACAAGGAAGCAATACAGGTCTGCATTAATACTTGGACATATCCAGCTTTTTATCCTTCCAATGATCTTATGAATTGGATCACTCTTTCCTCAAATTTACAAAAGAAGAAATGAAACTAGACGACAGTCCCAATGGAAGCAAAAACTAGAAAATGAGGA